TTCTGCACTCTCATCATCATCCAGAACGAGTCACTCGAATTCTCACCGCAAGTGGTTCTCGTCCGAAAAAAATAGTATTAATTGTTCCTTTCAACTGTACACCCATGCCCTTTCAAATTCATTTGAACAGTTGGGGTGAATGGCTCGAGTTCATTCATGACCGAATCGGAAAGGAACATGAAATCACTCAACAACACTTGAGGCGTTTCAAGAACAATAAATTGTGGTGTCCGAGACATCGAGATCGAACACAATTCAATGCGTATTTGACTCAAAATATGCACTCCACGGTTGCTCGAAAAACATTACCCATTCCCAAAGTAAGTATCAACACTGTTGTTGTTGTTTGAAATCCATTGCGATGAATCCATGTAATGATACATTCTATATGATGCGTGGAATGATTGGATGATTAGAATACCAAAAAATTGAAATATGGTTCAGGCTTTGATTATGATGCCGCTGAGAATGATACCAAAACTCCTTTGGCAAGATTGTGGATCATGAAGGATTTGATTCAAAATTCAAATTCAGGTAGGTTTGTGATTTTTAATGTTCATGATGAATGATTCATCGAATCAGAACAACAGACTACCGAGACCACCCAATCAAATCACCAAATCAGACATCTGATAAACTCGAAACAAATGATGACAAAATTAATTCTCTTTGCAAATTAATAAGAGAAAACTTTGATGATGAATTAAAGTTTAGGGTCGTTCGTATGATTCCAACTTTCAGTCAACAGAAAGCAACAGAAACGAAGGATTATGACTTGTATTTCTCTTCAGAAAAGACAAAAAATAACGAAGGAATAATGACTGAAGTTCAAGACCAACCAATTCTGACCTATCATAAGTATAGAATTCTTTCCAAGTACTTTAAATGGAAAATGGAAAAACACATGTTACACCATTTGGACAACCTTGATCTAAACAGGATTTTTCCATCAGGTATATCGATATACAACAGCATCAACTTGTGTGATACTACAATTTATTCCAAACTCGCATATCTTCTTTGTTTTACCAATGCCAAAAAGCAATATTTATGCGACAATAATAGAATCCCATATAACATATACAGTGCTTATCATGTGGTACTTAGATCTATTACGAAATGCATGTATTTTTACTGGCTGGAAAGTCAAGATGTAAATAATCGTTTTTTTAGCTTGACTGAGGATTTGCAAGATGATGTTGATAGTGATGACGTTTTTACATCTGATAAAGGGACATGTCTAGAAGTTGATGAAGAGAGTCTTATGAATTCTGTGTCACACAACGTAATAGAGTATCGAAAAATGTTTATTTCTTCTGATAGCTCCTCAATCTTTAAGAAAATTGATAAATTTAGAAATTTAGAGGGTAAGTTTATCCATTCTCTCTAATTATTCATAATTTTGTTGGGTTGTTCACTTTTCTAATAGATGGAGATCGAGAAATGCATGCTATATTTGAAAACAATAATTTGGAAATAATTGATCCAACAAAGATCTGTGCACACTTTGAAAAAGTTGGAATGGCAGTAGCGACAGAATTTGATTATTCTGCTTTGTCATCATTTGGAGTTCCCAATTTTCAAGCCTATCCAACGTCAAGAAACTGCTTCTATTTGAATAGTATATTTAGAATTGAGTTGAAAAAAGTTCTACCTTCTTTATTTAGTGACTTTTTCGATGATACCAAGGTGCTATTCAAAGTAATCACATTTGGAAACTTGTCATTGTATCCAATTACCACCTTGCTATTGCATATCATTTTAGAAAATGGAAAGACAGTGCCAAAAGATTTGAGTCAAGAAGATTTACTGAACAAACCTTCAGCTGGGGTTGACGAACGTATAACCTTGAATTTTGTGAACTTTAAAGCTGAAGATTTGAGCATGGTATTGACCAACGATAGGCGTCCCCGTAGAAACCCAATACCGAATTTAGTTACACCATTTTCTCTGTTAACCAATTCTAATTCCCTGACCTCACTTTATTCAAATAGTATGAAAGAACAGATTTTGAAGTATGTGGCGACTGGAGTCGAAACAATTAACTTGTGGAACTATGAAATAAGGTACAAATCCATTGGCCAAGAATTGTTGCTCTTACAAATTTTCTTTCCTCAATTGCATGACATTAATATCCTGCTCAATCAACGCTCGAATGAATACGATCGGTTAGGTCCTGTTGCCAATACGCTGATAGATCTTAATGCACAAACCATTCGTGATTTATGGCATAATAGGAACGATATTTCATATGAAAAGATTAACATATTGATCGAAGAACGCAAGCCCTTAATTTTGGATCTCAAGAATTCACCCACCTTTACGATTCCGCAGCCAAACGATGAAGATCCTTTACTTGAGAATGTACTTTTTTCAAATAACTCTGCAGCAACAATTGAAACAACAGAACGAAATGAAAAGGAACTTACTCTTAGAGTTATGCACATTGCTCAATTGAAGTGGGACCAACTGCAACATTTCGTACAAACTACTGGTCTTTACATCAACAGTATTATTGCACTATTGATCTATCAAAAACAAGTTCCGATGGCTGTAAAAAAGGACCTTTTAACTAAAGCTCTTCATGAGATTTCAATACCTATCAAAGATCTCATTTCAACTAAAAGCGGGAGCTATGCTGAAGGTGCGCGAATCATAGAGGAGTACTTGATATTCAAAGCAAATCAAAGAGGTGAAGGCCTATTGAATGTCACACAATTTAGCAAAGGACATAATTTTGGACAAAAATTGCTTTGCTTTATGTATTACGGATGGAATATATTCAAAAATAAGAAAGACCTTGAGAAATTATTCTTTATATTGCACCATAGTCCATACAGAACCGAAAGCTTGAAGGAATTAAAGAGTTTGCTGACTGCCAAAGTACTTTATGAAAATGGAAGCAGGCAATTATTTGTGAAATATTTAGCTCAACATATCGGCGGACAAATCAGAGAGGAAGAAATTGATGAAATTGTAACAGCTGTAGAATCTGGAAAACATCTCCCTCATTCAAACAATACTGACTACGAAGAATGCAAGAAAATATTAACTCTGTTTTTTACGTACCTAAGTAGACCAAAGCATGACAATTTATTCAAAGAACAAATGTTTCAACTCGATGCCAACAAGCAGTTTTTCATGATGTTGAGTGTCATTTCTCAAGGGGATATGGATAGTCTTGATGTCATTATGAATTTAGGTTATGAATTGGATTATTTTAGTGAATTATTTAACAAAACCTATACCACATACATTATCAAATCTCATCTAACACGTGAAGCAAAAACAAAGCAGTTATATCCTGAATCTATTGAGATGATCAGAGTTAAACAAATGCTGAAAAATATTTATCAGAAAGGATTGTCTTTGGATGAAACGTTTATGTCTTCCACTCTTGATGCGACTGTCTTTGAGGGTATATCAACGATCCAGGTTGACTTATTTTCCACAATGGTTCGCTCACCAAACGTGCCTTTAACAATTTTGCAACAAGTTTTAGAAAAAGGAATCAACAAGGATCAATTACTGTTTGCCGATGCTTACGGTAATACCTGCCTACATGCAGCATTGTTTAGTACTCTTGAGCATCCTTCCTTCTATCATGCGTTACTAACTAAACAACCCAGGTTGGTTAACATGGCCAATAGCGATTTAAACACTCCATTGCATATTGCATGTTACAAAATTGACTTATTGCCTGCCGTTGCTCGAGTACTTGTTGAGTACGGAGCAAAATTGGATGCATTGAATTGTCAAGGGCTAACACCATACGAAATTGCAAGTCATACGGTGATGGCTAATTTGGCTAGCTCTCATCACCTTGTCCAAGAGTTGTCTTGGTTAAAGCCAAATGTGTCAAACTTCAACAAGAGGGAAATATTCCAACGAATGATTGCAGAAAAGAGTATCAGATAACTCTAATTTTTTTTTATACAAGTGGGCGTGATAAATTCAGAATGGTTTTCAGGCTGTTGATAGTGAGAACATTGCTTTCTTCCAGCAATTGACGTAATTGGGTACCTTGATTTCTTTCCTCTAATGCCAAAAACAAGTTGTGATGTGTGGAAAGTCCTGAAATAGTTGCAAGATCGACAACGCTATTTTCTTCGTCGTTAGTTACTGGTTGCTCATTTGAAATAAATCCACACTTTTCTTTTTGGTATTTGAGGAGGTCCCAATTTGCGTCCAGGTCGGCATTGAACTTGTTTTCATACCTTATTTCTACCAAATCTAGCTCATCGATATCCTCACAAGGCTTTAGATTTGATTGATCGACCAAAGATTTGTGTACTCTCATTACTCCAAATTCTCGCTTCACTGATGGATGATAATTCCATACAGGAGCTGGCTACCGAAGTCATCAAACAAACTAAGGATATTCCCTCATATGCATTTTTCTCCATGTCCATGGCTTTAACAGCTTTAGCACTTGATGGATCTTCGTCATATCTAAATATCAAATTAATTCCTGCTTTGGCCAAATCAGACAGCAGCTTTGCAGGATTGGACCAGTTGATGGTGAGTTGTTCCAGCTCTGGTTTGGAGGGGGAAATTAATCTACACTTATCTTTATGTATCAATATGACAATGTCATCTAGCGAAGATGTGCCCTCACCTATTTTTGGTGTTGCTTGAAAAACACAAATATCCTTTCCAATATGTGGTGCAGGGAACAGAACCCATTTATGAAAGCTCTTGTCAATATTATTATCCTTATGTTAATCATTCAGTTCAATTCAACCGTTCTGAAATTATATTTGATACTTACATATACAACTGCTAAGGGACAAGTCAAGTGAGTAGTCATGAAGGTAATCAAGCCAGTTTCTGGCTCGTATGAGGAATTGGTTATTCCTTCACGAGACCATATTTTTTCTTTCTCATTCCACCATGCTACTTGAGGCTTGTCAGATCTGATGAGACAGCCATGAGGAGCTGGTATGGTGACTTTAGCAGGTGGTGGACCCTCAACTTCTTGGTTTTCATTATTCGTGACCGTATATGGTTTTCGTTTGATATGATGTGAAAGTTCTGTGATTTGTCGAATTTTCCAATCCTCACACGTATGAACTAGTGGAGGAATGTGCAAGAAATCAATCAAATATATTCCTCCTATCACAGTCACATCTTGAATATTCGGCGATGTGGATGAAAATATATCTTCAGACAAATGTACCACTCGGAGAGCAATCTCTTGATATCCCATTCCCTTTAGAGCTAGCTCCACATTCACCTTCATTTTATCAAAATCTACATAACGGATTCTGATTTGATGAACGTTGAGATCTTTTCTAACATTTCGACACTCCTGTACTTACAAATTTTTTGAAATATTTGTCCAGATACCATATTCAATACCTTTCTCTACCTTTTGAAATTGATCGTGGTCTGAACTCAAAAATTTATCAAAATATTGCATGATATGAGCAGTAGCATCATCTAAGGTTGCCAAGATGCATTCTGAGATTTGAGTTAAATATTTTTGGCAATGGGCCTGGATCGTTTTGTTTGACTGAGCTAAGGATTCAACAAAAATGTATTCCAACTCTCTGTACACTTTTGCTCCTTCCTTAATGAGTCCAAAATCTTCATTCAGATTTCTAGTTTCTTTTCTTAGTGACATTTCATTAATATCTTTCCATGAGGAAACAAAATTATTCATATCAACATCGTCATCCAGTTTCGGAAGATTATCACACTCGACAAATTTTTTCCATTCATCTTCTTCCTTTGCAATAGAAAGAAGAGATTTCAGTTTGTCCCGATGAGATGGCATTACTTCGGACTCAAATGCTCCCTTTTCTTCATTCAACCTTTTTCGCTCTTCTTCTGCTCTTCTTCTTCTCTCCTCCATTAACTTTCGTTCTTCCTCCTCTTGTCTTTTCCGTTCTTCCTCTTCCTCCTTTCTTTTCTTCTCTTCTTCCTCTTTCTTTAGTCTTTCCTCTTCCTCCTTCTTTTTTTTGCTCCAATAATTTTCTTTGTTTTGCTGTCATCTTCTCTCCCTTTGCCGATGGAGGTTTTGATGCAGAGCTTGACGATGTCATTCTCTTTGTAGGAGAAGTAGAGCTGCTACTCGTTGTTGGTTTGGTGCTTCCAGGCATTTTTTTTGATCGAGTTTTGTTTGAACGAGAGAAAAATCGTAAACTTTTGGTGGTTTGAGGAGAAACATGTTGTTGTATGAGAATAGAGATGAATGGATCAATCCTATATTCCGTGTTCTGAATATACTCATCATCATCATTGGATTTCATGATAGTTCATTGTTGGTACTTTTTCGCATTCATCAATGAACACAAAGACCATGCAGTAACAGAAGGGAATCCTTTCCACTGATGATGAATCGTGATGATGGATGCTTTTGGACTATAATAACAAACCGCAACAACTGCCTTAATCGGACAATTCGTTAAAAAAAATCACACTAATTACTGGCTGAATCGATTCAGTGGTGGTTGGCATAGATCTCCTACGAGAGTGAGTGGTTGTTGTTGTTGTTGTTGTTGTTGTTGAAGGATCAGTAATTGAACGTGCGTGATCATTCCGAACGCGCTTCGTCGTTCAATACGTATTTCCATCCTTTTAAGTTCGGAAACCACTCGAGTGATGAGTACATCCAGTACTACTGGTAGCAACACTAGAAATGCCTCCTATGACAGCCCTTCCAAGACAAGGCTTAATATTCTTGAAGCCTTGATGTCTCATGGAGGTGATGGAGGCAGTTACTCATCGGAGAGTCAGAATCAGGCAGTGGCAATCAAGACACAAGTGTCTAATGCCCTTAATTCAGATCCGTCTTCTCCGAACAGTCCAAGGAAAGAATTTGAGAGAAGGCGACGAAAGGTCACTCTTGCTCCTTCATCTCCTTTATTCCAAAAGAACGAAGAGTTGAACACATTGCTCACAACCATCAACAAAACGAATGATATATCGATCACGCTGGACGATTCCAAACAAATCCTAAAAATCGATAATGATGTCTATGTCAAAATGGAATACGCTAATGCTCAAGTTGAGGATTTGATGAGGCAGTTTTCTAAAGCCAAGCAAGAGTTCAAGGAAGGTACACAAAGACTGCAAATGGAATTTGAGAAAATGGACAAAGAAAAGATGGAACAAATTGCAGCGTTTACTGAGGACTTTAACGTAAAATATTCTTCAATGCAGAAAAGATATCAAGACGCTCTTTCAAAAAAGTATAAAGACAAAATAGAGGAGCTTGCACAGAAGATTGAGAACTATACCAAAGAACGTGATAGCTTGAAATCAAAACTCGAACAAGAGACAAAAAAATACTATGACGACATGCACAAGTTTATGTCACAATATCAAGCACAGGTTGACGAAATAAGGCAGAAGTGTGAAAAAGAATATGCAATGTCTGTTCAAGCATGTAAAAAGAATTATGAATCCGACTTGAAAAAGGCTGTTGAGAAATTTAACTCTCAAGAGAAAGAGTACTTTGCCAAGTACGCAATTCACAAGAAATTATTTTTTGGACTATTAACGTATTTAAGAGAAGTGAAGGATTCTAACGCAAAATTGGAGGTAGAGCTGCAAAAACAACTAACGAAACTTGAAAGTGTAAATAAGAAGGCAAGAAAAACGGAGAATGATTTACTCAACCAAATTTCTGATTTGCATAAATCCATTGAGCAAGGAAAGAAATTTGTGACATCTAAGTGTATTAATACAGATCTGACATTGCAAGAAATGGATAAGCAAGACCAACAACACCGCATGATTGTACAGGAAAGTGCTTGTAAAATAGAGACTCTTCAGGAGGAATTGGCAAAATGTAAAATAGAAATTGTATCATATAGAGATGAAATTGGTACTTGCAAAGAAAAGTATCAACAAAGGGAAAGATCTCTAAACGATTTGCGAAAACAAATAGAGGTCCTTTCATCTCGAGAAAGTGACTTACAAAAACTGTTACAAGAGGAAAAGGAAAAACGGGAAAAAATCCAAGGTTTGCTCGATGAAGCGCCTACAAGAGAAAACCTCAATAACTTATTGAAAACGGTTAAAGAAAGAGAAGAAGAGGTCGTTCAGTTAAAAGCTTCCCTTGTTGAAAGGGATCAAACGATAACGAACTTCGAATCTAAACTCGAACAACTACGACTCAATAATTCTGAGAAGGTTGTGCTTACAAGTGACACTTTAGAACTGATATCAACCCTAAAAAGCCAGGTAGAGTTGGCCACAAAAGAAAAGGAACGCTTGTCTAATGAGAATACGATTCTTTTAAGAGAGCTAGATCTAGCTAAAATTGACCTGGCTCAAAAAGCAAGTGAAATACAAGAAATTCAAGAAAGGCAATTTGAAAAAGAAAAGGAAGGCGAGCGATTGAAAATGATCCATAAAGAGGAATTGGAGAAGATGAAACAAGAATCAGAAAAGAAAAATGAACACTTTCAAACTGTGGTTAAGGAATTCCAAAGCAAGATGAACGAGCAACAAACTAGGATCTCAACATTAATGGATGAGCTTGATCAACAAAGGATTGTTGCTCTCACAATTGAACAAAGAAATAAGGAAAGAGAAAACGAGCTGGCATATTTGACATCATCACTTGACCAATCAAAAGAAGCCCAGGAAAAGTTACATGAGCAATTACAAGCAAGTAACAACAAACTCCAAAACATTTTAATTCATTTCGAAGTAGAGCGACGAAACTTTGAACAAGAATATCAAGACCTGTCATCACAGAACAGAGCGTTAATGGTTGAGTTGGAGGAAAAAGATCAAAAAATACGAACATTACAAAATGAGGTTGCTTTACAAACATCCATAACAGAACAAAATGTGGACATGAACGACCTATCTCAAATGCAGAAGCTTATTACAAATCTTAACAGACAAATACGGACGTTGAGAGCTGAGGCTGACTTGAGGGATTCAGTTTACAGAGATGAACGAATTGAAATGAAAGAAAAGGCTTCAAAACTTGAAAAAGAAGTTTCTTTGTACAAAGACAAATATCAAACTCTCCTCACAAATTCACAATTCAACAACATTGGTAACAATAACACTTCCCTACTTGAGGAGAATACCAAATTGTCAATAGAAAACAAGAAATTAATTTATGCAAACAGAACTCTGATTGCTAAAATTGCAGGAATGAATGGTGATGCTTCGCGCAACTGGGAGGAACTGTACAAACAAGAGCAGCAAAAAACAGAGAAACTTCTAGAACAATGCAAGAATTTCGTATTGAGAATATCACAATTAGAAGATGAAAATTCAAAATTGAAGAATGCCTGAAAGGAAGAAAGAAAAGATATTTTGATTAAGGGAAATATCAAGGCTCGATTTCCAAAAACTGTTGGATATCAGATAATATTTACTTTTCAAATGTTCCTTGCAATGACTCGTATCTCTCTAAATCCGCTACAGAAACAGATGGTGTAATGTTCTTGAACGCTTTCTCGAAATCGTCATGAGACACAACGATTTGATGTGACTGCTTTTGCGAAATGTCACCCTGAGAGGTGGCTCTGCTGACAGCATTCATGAATGCATCTGTGCAAATGGCATAAAAATCAGCGCCTGTTAAATTGAATCTGCTTTGTTCCAACAGCTTTTCAAAGTCAATATCATCCTTCAGATTAAATTTTCTTGTTAGAGCTTTCAATACTTTCAGCTGTTCTTCTCTAGATTTTGAAACTCCAAGATAAACCAAACGTTCAAATCTACCAGGCCGTAATAACGCAGGATCAATAAGGTCAGGTCTGTTGGTCGCACCAATCACAAACACTCCCTTGTTGGAGGTGTCATTATCTTCATCTCCACTGGCACTACCAATGTCATCCAACTCAGCAAGTAACTGAGAAACCACTCGATCCATCACACCTCCAGAGTCACCACTAGCTCCTCTGTTTGGAGCCAAGGCATCTAATTCGTCAAAGAAAATTACACACGGCTTACACTGTCGAGCTTTTTTCAAATACAAGTCTCACATTGCGTTCACTTTCTCCAACATACATGTTAATCAACTCAGGACCTTTCACACTCATAAAGTTCAGTTGACATTCGGTGGCTACAGCTTTTGCAAGCAATGTTTTACCACAACCTAAAGTTTTCATACATGTGTGATTAATATCCGTATACATCATCACATTATTGGATGTAAAAAATACTTACCAGGAGGTCCATAGAGCAACACGCCACTTCTTGATTTCAAATTATGAGATTGTAGTGGTGATTGAATGATATCCAAAATTTCTTGCTTTGCATGCTCCAAACCACCAATGTCCTGCCAATTGACTGTGGGAATAGACACATTGGTAGTGCTACTAACATTACTTCCACTCACAGATGCAGCATACTTTTTGTGCCATTTAAGTCCCCCTTGTATGATGTGCTTGTGTGAAAGAGTGGATAAATAAACATGAGGAGGTGGAGTATTTCCATTTTCTTTTGATGTGAGCTTGTTTTGTGTGTTCATTGATTCGATAACGGCTTGAGATTTTGAAATTTGGACAATTTTGTTGAGATCGTAAATGGAGCAACCACTTGTGAGCTTGACGATCTGTGAAGCAGAAATGTCAATATTACAAATACTGCCTTCTGTCATCATGTTTGTTGCTTGTCGAATGAATTGCTCTCTTGCATCTTCACTCAAATTTTTCCTTGCCTCAATTTTAGTAAGGAATAAATTCTTGAAAACTGGACTCAATAAATCTAACGAAGAAACACTAGGAATAAAAATTAATGGAAACGAATTATTCTTTGGCTTGAGGCATTGTTTCAGGCACTTCACAATTCTAATTTTTGAATGTTGTTTCACACTGGCTCCACCTCCGCTGTTACTTAGCTGATCAAATGCTTCAAAGTGCTTGACATAGAGTATACATGGAGTGCATTGTCTTGCTAGAGCAAAACACTGTGACAAATTTTGGGCAGTGATCGAGTCTGATTCATTAATAATTTCAAATGCGTTAATTTCAAGCAGATGAAATCCATACTTGGCACAAATTGAATGGATTGCAATGGTTTTACCAGATCCTTCCTCTCCATATAACAGAAAATGCTGTTGCACCAGACTCTTTTGTGCTGAATTACCTTGAGGAAATTGTTTGTAAATTGAAATGATAGGTTCAATATATCGCGACAGTTGTTTTGTAACGTTCAATTCATAGTAATCGGTTAATGGAATTTCAGAAGGAATGTAACCTCTCATAGGTTGAGCGTTCGTAATTAGAATGGTTTCAGAAGAAGATACAATAACTGAGTCATTGCAATCTTCATTATCCACTTCTACACTATCCACTCTGTAACAGGTATAGTCTGCATGTAAAGGATCAATTCTCTTGACTGTTTCTAATTGCGCAAGTACTTGAACTTGCATCGAGTCGTCAGATTTGATAAACGAAATGGTAGGGTTGTTGATCATAATTATCTCATTCTTTCTCAACACTCGCGATTGAGAAGAAAAATAAATATCGAGTTGTTTTTCAAAAAGCCGTTGTTCAATTCTTTGTTCCTCTTCTGTACCAGAAATAAGAGTAGTTCCAAAATGGTTTGGGCTTTGGATTGGTGTTAGAATAACCTTTGAAGCGGTCTTTGGTGCATTAACATTTGAGGTAAGTTGTATTTTGTTGGGTCTTCCAAGATTAAAATATAACATATTTGTCATAATTGCTCCTTCGTAAGGTAAATCTTCTCCATGAACAAGTGTTATGAGAACGGACTGTGAAGAATTAACTCGTCCCCACATTTTATCCATACAATTCAATTTTGCAAAATAGCTAGCACTAACTAATAGTAAGGAATGAGGATCTTCTTTGGAATGGGCATTGTAATTTGGTGAATAATTTCTCAGAATGCTTAAAAGATTGTTTGTGGTAACATGATGAAGTTGATCAATTTCAATAGATTTCTCAGTTTTGTTGGCAATAAAATCTGAAGAAAGAATATCATCAAAAGAGTCGTCATTGTTGTCTAGCATTATTCCTTCTAGCCCTGACAATGTATAAAGTTGTCGATTAATAGCCAAACCAGGTTCAGTGAGGATAATAAATTTTGTAATTTGGCTATCAATGATTCCTTGAAGTTGAAGTTTTGTGTCGACAATTTGAAATTCAATAGTTACATCGTCTCGGATAGAGAAAATATTGAATCTTGTAGACAAGGTTGACACCTGCTTTTTAACAAGCGACGGAAAATCAAATTCATTCTCTTCAATCCACTCTCGAATAAACGAAGAGTTCACATTTTCTGATGCAAGTGGCTGTACAATAACTTGCTTTAGAACAGGAACTGATGGCTTTTCAATCATTCGAATTTCTATCGATATTGGAAAATATATATTCAGTTCTTCCTTCACTTTCATAAAGTTTCTAATAAATTCTTCATCTACTGCAAAAGTTATTTCTTCATTTGGCCTATGACCGTCATCTAGTGATACTAATAATTTACGAACACGTTCCGATACCAATGCTTGCACAATAAATCGTTTGTTCACCATCAAAAAAACCTCCTTTCCTCCATGCTTGACCCCATTCACAACCTCACTTGTTCCCGATGATGAGCTGATGATGTTCAACAAGTCATGATCCAAAAATTGATGCCGAGCAGCAAGATTGAAACCAGAAAGTCGGACGAGATGAAGGCTTGCTTTCATTTTTTGTTTCGAAATTTAAAGGACTGAACTCAGTCTGAGTCAATGGAAAGTCATTGTTTCAAAATTCAACCAATGTCGCCGTATAATGGTATACCCAAGAGACGAACCATTCAGATGATGAATGGAAAGATTCCCGTCATCCATAATAGATGAATCCACCAAATTTATACATTCCATCCACTCTCCACTTTGTTTTCATTTCCATTCCTCTTCGAATGACTTGTTAATAAAAATAAAAGCCTTTGCCAGACTTTCCCAACAACAAAAACAAAACAATTTCGTATATTGGTTCAAGTCCAATTGACTCATCATCTTTTATTCTCTTTCCCTTTGATCTTGGCCCATCATGTTGTACGGCTGCGTTCCTCCTTCAACGGTTGTAAATACCCCTTCCAGCGGTTACCACATTTCCTTTGACTCGACTTCGGAGGAGTTTGATAACACTTTCCCAGTGGTTTTAATGAATAGAGTGAATCCTCAAAAACACCTCTCCACCATTCAAACATGTTCCCAAATTATGAAGAAGCACATGCAAAAGATTGATGATAATCATACCAAGCTTTTTCTCAAAACATTCCTCATCATCATGTTGGGATCCATTCTTTGTGTGGGTCTATCTTGCTTAATTTACTTTACAGCCTATGCTCATAATCCAGAAAACGGAGTATGGGTATGGATTGTCTTTCCATGTTCCTCGATCTTCATTGTTCTTGGAGTTGTGATTTGGTCCTTCAGAAGAATTGCCCACATCACTCAGGTCCATAAGGATTGCAAGAAGGAACTTTCAGAATATTTGCAAAGTGAGAATCAAAACTTTTACTTTTCACAAGGCATTCAATATGTTTTGAGATATGAAATTGCAGTGGTATCAAGTACCAGATATAATCATACATTCTCTTACAAGCATTTGCTAACAATGCCTATCATTGAAGTTTATGTGAATAATACCATTGTTCCAACTCAAACTTTCATCATGGCCACACCAATGGAAGGTTATCAATCTTCAGTCACTGGAGTGAATGCGACTGTCGTGACCCAACCACCAGTGGTGACCACCATGTATTCTCAACCTGTTCAACCAATGGATGAATACGCAAAGCAAAACAGACCTCTCTTGGCAAATGATGGCAACAACATTTAAATCGTTGATGTAGAGTCTGAGGACGATACTTGCTTTAAGAATTAAGGCAACGATGGTTGCGCTTCATAATTTGAAATATTTGTCACTTCAGACCGTTTAGCGACTTCCATCAAAGTTGCATACTTGCTTTCAGGTAGAATAAAACCATTACTAATCCAAACATAATTTGTCAATACCCTGCAGACATAGTCGCATGTCAAGCTCACACAAATCATTTGTTTTCCTGAAGTTGTGGTCAAGCATCGACTCTCTAACACCTTTTTCAAGAGGTGACTTTGAAAATTATTTGTGACATCCTGCTCTTGGCATATGATTTCAAACTGTCCATTCGGAGACTTTAATGCACCCTCTCTCAGATGGTTCAAATAGTCATTCATGAAGACTTTTTCAGCATCCTCAAATGAAACATTTGGCTCCAAAGGATGATATATGACCGTAATGACATCCCCGCTTTGAGGATTCAAAAACGATGCAGAAAATGGTCCTTTCTTTGAGTGTGCATCGACTGACACGACCATAAACTCCTTTGGAATGCAAGGTTTAAATACTTTTGAAAATGGCAGGTCTGAAATGAGTTTGAATTCATTTTCCGATCCCATGAGGGGCATTGTCCCGTGTGACGACGACAGTCCCTTGTTGGGATCATAACATTCAACCTTATAACGAATTTTAATCGATCCAGACTTGGCCTTCTTCAAAGGAAGTTCCACCGAGTAGGTTTTTCCTCTTTCGGTTTGGTCAGAATTCAATATAAGGGTTGCTTTGCCAAGGAAATCCTATTTTGAATAACATGCAAATTCGTGTGAATGTGATCATATTCAAAGATTGAAGTTAGAAATGAATGCATGGATGAATGAATTAACAAATTGTAACTACCAATGATTGAATGCATACATTACGAGAAAATCGATCATAGTCGTACACTTCAAAACCAATCGTGACAGGTCCTTTTTCATTCATAATATAATAAAACACAAAGGTATCATCCCAAATTGGATTTAACGTCTTTTTGATAATCTAAAGATCATTCATAGAGGTGAGTGTTTTCAAAAAGAATTTTTCAAAGCTTACTTTTGTTTTTTTCTCCAAATACTTGTTCAGAATGATTTTCACATAGGGATCGGAGAAACCATTGAAATCGGAAGCCACAAGATGTGAAGCACTCTCCACTGTGAGAATTAATCGGTCGTTTATGGTGAATTCGTGTGGTTGACTCATATTAAGATTACTATTTTTTTAAAAAGAGGTATTTCTTCATTTGTCTATTTAAAAAGAA